GTTAAGAGTGAATATAAAGAGCTGCATAAAAGAAGCCATTTGCACAACAGTTTTGATTGGTCCTAGAAAACCTAGGAGCAATGCTGCATATTCCCCTATATATGGTACATTATCTGTTAACGATCTGTCCACAGAGATACCCATGTCCCATTTGTAGAGCACCATCATAACAAGCCCCAGGGATCGTATGGAATGAGCTGAAGAACTGGATCTTATTTTTAAATGTCAAGTTTCCTGAAATCTGTTCAGGTTTGTTAAAGCATTTCTCTCCCTTAATTAAATTATAATATAATCTTCACTCTTACCATAAGCCACATTATTTGTATTGTATGCCCCAATCAGGATCATTGTGCTACGCGCTGTAGAAACACAGAGAAAGACAGTCCCTGCTTTAATCTAATTTAAATAATCCCCTTCCAGGAGAAGCTTAATTAAAATCAAAATATGGATTTCTAATTAAAGAGAAGCCTATAATATGACAACAACAAAGATTTTTCTTTGAAAACAGTTATTTCCCTGAGTTTAGGCCTGCCAGAGAGTGAAATATAAACCACACAATAATCCTGAAGGCATGGTTTGCTAGAGACAAACAGAACTCAAACCTCTCCTATTTTGAGTTTATTTTCTAAACCCACAAGCCAAGTGGGTTCTACGTTTTGAAAAAACAAGTTTTCTATCCCTTGTCTGAAACTCTGACAGTTCTTACTAGTATTTTCCTCCAATAACTATTATCTATTATACTTAATCCTAAATCCTGAGTTGAACAAAAAACATTCGGTGCAGTTTAAACTAACACAATAACAGCATAAAAGGTGCATATAATAAAGCTTTAAAATAAGACCCAGAAGATCTGATGTCTCTTTAAATGCCTCTTTAAATTAAATAAAATAAATTAACTACATTTAAATTAAATTAATGTGTAGGGACAGAGGAATTTAAGAAGAACAAAAAGTATCTTAACAGGAACAGAATGGTAATCTGCATCAGCGTAGATAATGATGTGGCTTTTCTAATTCTCATTTATTGCAGAAGACTAAGATACACTGCCACAGTTTGTGGCCCGCAAAAAGGCAATGAGGAGGGGGTAAATTTAAATTATATTGGGGAATTTATGTTTACCATTAAACTTTACCCTAATAAAGGTATCTTAAAAAGGGAGACCTGTGTTGTAGTAAGTAGGAATATAAGCTGCAACATGCTACCTGTGAGAACGTGCCGTCTCCCTGAGAAATAAGGAAGGGACAATCTAACAGGAAATAAAAGTACTTACTGCTGGAAGGAAGGAAGGAAGGAAGGCACAACAAACAACAGGCAGTTGCAGAATGGCTACTTTAGGCCTGCAGCTGTTTGTTTCTGCCATATTTAAAGGGCCAGTTTCCAGACAGGTATGCTGGAAAAAAGTTCCTAGACCAAGAGTAAGCAAACTTTTTGGCCCGAGGGCCACATTGGGATTGCAAAACTTTATCGGGGGCTGGGTAGGGAAGGCTGTGCCTCCCCAAACAGCCTGGCTCCCGCCCTCTATCTGCCCTCTTCCACTTCCCGCCCCTTGACTGCCCCCTCAGAACTCCTGACTCATCCAACCCCCCCTTGATCCTTGTCCCCTGACTGCCCCGTCCCGGGACCCCACCCCCTATCCAACCCTCCCATCCCCTGACTGCCCTCCCCCCCAGAACCTCTGCCCCATCCAACCACCCCTTGCCCCCTGACTGCCTCCCGGGACCGACCGCCCCTCCAGGACCCCACTCCTATCCAACCCCCCCCGCTCCCTGTCCCATGACTGTCCCGACCCCTATCCACACCCCTGCCCCCTGACAGGATCCCTGGGACTCCCACGCTTATCCAGCCCCCACTTTTCCCCATCCAACTGCCCCCTGCTCCCTGCTGTTGATGTCCCATGCAAAAACAATGTTCCAGATTGCATTTTACAAACCCTCTGAGTTTTAGATTGTCAAGGCCTAGAACTCTTCTGCTAATTTGAAAATTTCACATCTTCTGTGAAGCTGCTCTCTGTATTAGTTTTAAACATCTGTGTAACCATTTTCTGAAGTTTCACATTTCTGTTTTTCTCCATTTGTACTGCCTCTCATTTGAGCGCATGTGTTGCACTTTCCAGATGCTTGTCACAGCTAGCCTGTCCGGTAAAATCAGCGTGCATGTTCCACCTAGTACACAATGACTTTCCTCCACTTTCATGAAATATTTGTAGGGTATTGCTGTGCTCATTGCTTTGCACTTATTTTAACCACTTTACTCATTTTGTTGTTGTTGCCTCTTTAGCATTTTACTGCTGCTGATACTGCCAAAAAGTTGAGATCACTTCCTGCTTCCACAAGATGGATCACTGATTTCATGGTTGAGGGGCAAGAAATGCCAAAATTCATAAGTTCCGTGACAATGGTAGCCACTGTGACAAAATCTTATCCCTACTCATGCTTAACTGAAGTAAATGGCTTATTCGTGGCAGTAAAGTTGAACACATAAGTGTTTGCAAGATCGAGGCCAACGAATGTTACCTCTAGTAAAATCTCAGCATACAAATTAATCTGGGAATGCATGAGAGAGGAAGAAAGGGGTTACAGTAAGTGGGGTGTGTGGAAGAAAACCTTCAAAACTGCGCTGGCAACTATATTCCCTGACAGATGAGGTGTTTGTGGTTGTTTTTCTTACAAAACCCAGGGAGATGGTGGTAAAATTGGGCCCCCCAATGCAGAGGCTGGCTGGTGTGCAGAGAATAATGGAGGGGACCACACATTGAATAGTAAGTAGGAAAAACAAATAGGGAACAGCTGGCTCATTGACTATGCACTGTCCCTCCTGCGTGCTGAATTAGGCATGGCTCTGCAGATCTAATAGTATGTAACCATGTAATTAAAGTTTTTATTGTAAGGAGCATTAAGGTTGTAGAGGGAATCTTAATGTTGGCACTGCCTGACTTTAAAGTGTTAAGCTCCATTCGACTGTAACACTCTTTTAAAGATGCATGTCAATCTGTTCCAAAATATGCCTAGTTGTAATTATTATTTTTTTCACAATTTTAAGAATTAAATCTGAGTCAGAAATGTGGATTTGATACATCAGTGTAGAGAACAAAGGAGAGAGCTTAAACTAGAATAATGCTAAATATAATTGAACTTGTTGATCACCCTCAAGCTGGTTTTGAAAGGCATTGCTACAGTGTCACTGTATCACTCACTGGTGAATGTGCTTACTGGTCTCCCCTCTGTGCCCATCCACAGAGGACAGGAATTGTTACAGCTTGTAGTTGTAGACACTGGGTGTTTTAGCTCAAGCTGTAGCAGCCCATACTTTTAGCTCTGATGGTCCCCCATTCAATCCTTTATGTGATTGATGATAATAATATATGATAATCATAATATATGGAGATATACCTATCTCATAGAGCTGGAAGGGACCCTGAAAGGTTGTTAAATCTAGCCCCCTGCATTCACTAGCAGGACCAAGTACTGATTTTTGCCCCAGATCCCTAAGTGGCCCCTTAGGGATTGAACTCACAACCCTGGGTTTAGTAGGCCAATGCTCAAACCACTGAGCTATCCCTCTCCCTGGGATGGTAAGATGTTATGTAACATCTTACCCTCTGTGGATCAGCACAGAGACAGTCTTGAAACACACACTCACCAATGAGCAACAACTGTACTGGGTTAGGAACTCCACTTTCTGCCACCATTTACAAACAGTGCATTAGCTGCAAGCAATAACAATACAGAGAAAATGTGGTGACGGGGAGCCCGAGTGGGGCTGTTCTTTCCCTCACTCCAAAATTGGATCAACTATATTACTTGATAGAAACCTAAATTACTACCAGTGTCAAGTAAACGTTGAATCTCTTGTCATTAACATTATAAATATCATTGTGTGTGAATAGGCCCCAAAGAGATTTCATTCTTTCCCTCCTTTTCTCTCTTTGAGTAGTGCCTTATTTAGTCAGCAGCCCCACTGATTTCACAGAGACTAGACGTGGAGTAATGTACTACTCGCTGTGAGCAACGGCATGCAGAAAGTTTAGAAAGCTAATCAGTTTCATAAATTCTGTTGTGTGAGCTTCAAAGAGCTCCTTGTGCAAGGGGCTCATAATTAAAAGGACGTGGCAAACTGGGTACTTCACTAATTGTCTTTAAGTTTGACCCCATTAAACCTTTTCAGATAAAATTAAATATTTCAGCTTAATTAGCTTTCCTGTCTGCGGGTATCCATGAAATAGTGCTGTGCTTTAGACCCGACCAACTAAATATGTGGCCGCAGAAAGCAAGGTGAGGATTTATTTTTTTTCCCCTCTTTCTCTCTACTCTGTTGAGCAGCCTGTACATTGCAGTGGATAAATAACAAAACATCTCATCCTGCCAGAGTTCAGACTGCTTTACCAGCCGCACACAGGGCCAAAGCCTGGTCATACTGAAGTCAATGGCAAGTGACTGCAATGGAACCAAGATTGATCTCACACAGGGTTCACATCATCCACTACTGAAGTGCGGCCACCTGTGGGGAAGGGTCACAGCAGCTGTTCAAAGTCCTTATTCATGTGAAACTTCAGTTGAAGTCAACAAGATATGGAATAGTAATATTTGCCCTGTTGACCTTGTATTAGTTCCTTAGGCCATGTCCTCACTACAGATATCTGCCAGCCTAATTACATTGGTCAGCGGTGAAAAGAGATGTGATCCCTGATTGACATAGCTGTGATGGCAAAAGACCCTAGTGTAGATGCAGCTGGCAAAGCTGTCCTTTTACTGCTAGAGCTTGTTTTGTTGAATAAGCATTTTCACTATACCAATACAAAAATACAGACTTGTTGGAGTAGCTGTAGTTACACTAGGATTGCCTTGTTGGTATAGTATAAATGTATTCCTACACCAGTAAAGCACTCCTACAGCAAACATGGCCGATGTCTTCCCATTTCCGTCTCATGTTGCAATCTTTTTTCTTTGGAAGCCCATATTTTACTATTTGGTCTGATTAGGGGGGAAAATAGACAGCAAAAGTTCTGTCAGAATTTGCTATTTATTATAATAAAACCAAAATATACATTTAACAGTTTCAGATACCTTTGGATTACAAGATTGGAATTCCTGTTAAAACAGCAGGATTGCCAAACTCAAAGCTAGTTAGTGACCATGTACAATGCTTTAGTTATGATGTTACATAATTAACTATATTGCTTGTAGTATTGTTGCAGCCGTGTCAGTCCCAGGATATTAAAGAGAGAAGGTGAGTGAGGTAATATCTTTTACTGAACCAACTTCTGTGGGGGAAAGAGACAAGCTTTCAGGTTTACCCAGAATGAAGAGCTCTGTGTAAGCTCAAAAGCTGGTCTCTTTCCCCCACAGAAGTTGGTCCAATAAAAGATATTGCTTCACCCACTGTGCCTCTATATTTAGACATGGTAATTCATAAATGGGCCCTTTCCACCAAAAGTGTTTTTTCCCATATTACTCTATAAATAATGATACTATAAATGTGAAATTGACTCCTGCACAGAAAGTCAGTCTAAGAACCAGTTAAGCCCTATAACATGGCTTTAAGTGGTGCATAGTTCTTGTGCTGGATTTCTGAAATAGTGTGAGTTTTGCCTTATGTGAAAATATTAACCTTACTGATAGAATGTGAGGCATTAACCAAATTCCTTTTGGTCAGTCTGCTTGGCCATTACTTTTTTCTTGAGAGCATTTGGAGAGCTTCTGATCAGTTTCCTTTCTTCCCAGCCAGACTTATCCTGAGATATTTGAATTTTTCTGTCATTAATTGGGGGGGGGGGAGAGGGGGGAGAAACATGCAACTTCATACAAGTGATGGAAAAGATTATAGATCAGTCTCTCTTGATTTGTATGTTTCATAGATTTCTGTGCTTCTTATCCAATAGTAATGTAGTCCAGTTTTTACAATGTCAACATGTTGAAAAGCAAAATTAAAATGAATTTTTTACATTTACTTTACATAGAAATCTCTTCAATTTAAGTCATGAAGAAATCATAAGTAACAGAACTTAAGGAATCCTTTAGAGCAGGTTGATTTTTTTTTAAAGTTGGGTGAGTTTTGGGACATTTGAGAGCAATTTCCATGCTGTCATCATTTGTAATATTTTCATTTTTCTGGATTTTCTTGCATAAAAATAATTCATTTTCAAACTGAAATTTTCAAAAAATGCTTTTTAAAAAATCCCTTGTGACTAAGGGCTTGTCTGCCTGGGGAAGTTAGTATGGACTAATAAGCTAGGGTGTGAATTTAAAATGCACTAGCTACCCGTGTGGATACTGTTACGCTTTAAAGCACACAAAGGCGCTCTTAGTGCTGAGTAAGTATGTCCACACAGAGAGTTAATGTGAAGTAGCTAGTGTGCACTAGCTGCTCCACACCAGCTACTCTGGGCTTTTTTCCTCATGGAAATAAGCCTTAAGATAACCAATCAAAATTGGCCATGCAATCTCCCCTTCTCCCCCCCACCCCACGCAAATATACATTTTGAAAAGCAACAAGCAGGCAAATCTTTTCTTTACAAATTTCTATTGATTTTTTTTTGAAAAAATGGAAAACTTCAAAAATATGAAAACTTTTCCCAAAAATATTTCATTTTTGGAAAATGGCCACACTTTGATAAAGTATTATTTTCCTCTTAAAAATTGACCATTTCTAGCTGTCAGATTTTTGGAACTTTTGCTAAATTATATAACTGTAGGTGATGCTTTGAAGTATAATAAATGCAAGTTTTGTAAACTGATCCTTGCTTTCAGCCTATAGGCAGACATATGGTACTGTCCTATGAAGTGCTAAGTGCTTTCAAAACTCATAAAAGTTGTGAAGCCCACAAGGCTCTGCCCAGGGCAGCCATGACACACCTTTGCAGACAAGTTATCTGCCTAAGCCTCCTGTTCCAGTCACTGTTACCACATATGTTGAATATTCAGAAAATGTCTGGTCTTGGACATGGTTCCATTTAAGAGCAGGAGTAGCAAGAACAAAATGATAGAACACAAAAAGCAGCCAAAGGCACGTCTATATAATAAGAGTAATGGAGCAGAATATAAAACACCACCAAAATTGAGACATGTCTGGGTCCATTAAAAATATCATGACTGCCATAAGTGGACAAATGACTGTCTTGGCACAGACTATTTGAAACTGTTAACTAGCGGTCCATAGCAGTAATCAAAGCCACCTGGACATGTTGTTTTGGTTCTTACATCACCAACAGACATTGATTTTAAACTGGGGAACTGTACACGATGACAATACAATAAAGAGGAAAAAGACCAACTTTAAACAAGAGTTTCAAAATCTCATTATTGATGGAAATTTCACCTTCCGATCTGTGATTTGTCTTGCCAGATCTGGTTTACATCTGTCAGTCACTGAATTGTTTTGTGTCAAAACATTAGGAAAGTTTGTGGTAGACACTAATCTATACAAACACAAGTGCCTAAGAAAACATTGTCTGAGATGAGCATATATTAAAGGGCCTTCTAGTATGTTTAACTTTATACACTAAACAATGAGTCAAATCCTGAAATCTTCACTGATTTGCCTAGTCTTTTTTTTTTTTTAAGGTCAGCAAGAGTTTGCTTAAGTGATGACTGAGTGAAAACCAAGGAAGGATTTGTCCCAATAGCTTGAGACAACAGACTCAGATGGTAGGATATAAAACCAAACCTGAACAATTAAGAGCCCAATCTTGCTCCATTGAAGTTTGTGGCAAAACTCCCATTAATTTCAATCAGAGCAGGATCAGGCCCTTTAGCCAAACATTGGTGATTATCTGTTATCCCAGTATTATAATGTATTTAAATATTCAGCACTGTGAAAATGTGTGCCTGGCTAGGACACTTTTAAGTTTATCATCATTAAAATACTAGATGGAAGTAAAAAAACAGCCTTAAAATTCTCTCACGGGCTGTTCTTTATCCTTCCTTTTCCTGTCTATAATGAATTTGTTTTATATACCTCAAAAGTTGGATTACAATTACAAAGGATTTCACACATCAGCTAATCACAGAAGCCTAATTCTGAGTAATATTTGTGACACTAAGGTAAAATATAATAAGGGCTTCAATTTTCATAAATTGTAACAGAATATATTGGAGACACATGTGGATTTGATTTTCCTGTCACGCAGGTGTAATTCCAGTGCCTTCCATGCCGTTAACTCCTGAATCTTCTCTATATAATGAATCTCTACATAGTTATCTACAATCTAAGTTGCGTCTTGGAATAACTTGCTATAATTACTTTGATTAGATTCAGATTTATATTCCACTGAAGCCAATGGGACTTAGATCACTGACATCCATGGGGGCTGACTCTGTAAGTATTTTCAGCTCATATCAATCAGTTGCAATAACCTTGTGTTACACATAAAATAGAATGCATCCAATTATTTATGTAGGTCCCTACAAAACAGTCATACACATGACAGCGGTTTAGTAGGAAAATCATGTTCCACTAATCATGTATTAATTTTTGATAAGGGATTTGTAAATAGTAGGTGCATATCAAGACTTACATAGATTTGATTAAAATTTCAGAGCGTTTTAGACTATGGGCCCAATTCTGATCTCACATGAATGTAAATCAAGAGTAATTCCATTAAGTTTAATTGCGTACATCAGTATAATTGAGATAAGAACCAGGGTCCAATGGACTGGCAAAATCAAGGATCTTGGCTCCTCAGTAGATGTGTAAATTTAACCGCTTGCTCAGAAAACTGTTTGCTTATGGAATGAATACATATTCACACGTCCCTAGAATGTTTTCCAGCAAAAGAACAAATTTAACAGAATAAGTGTTAAACGCTTTATTCCTTTGTCTGCTAATACCACTGCCAGTTTTATTTTAACTGACTTCAGGAATACAGTATTTAGGAATCTGTTGGATGTTAGAATTCTAAAACCTGATGCAAGCTTTAACAACTACAATACAAGCCGCACTGGCTGTTCTGACAGCCTGTCTGAAATGGATGGAACTCAGGCAAACACAAGTTATGTTTTGAAGTGAGGGGAGAAGGAGGTTTTTTTTGTTTGTTTTTGTTTTTTTGAGGTAGGGGAAGAGCATTTATTACTGATCGGACCAAAGTATTTTTTTAAAGTCTGCACTAGGGGATCTATTTAGAACCTTCAGTTATTAATGTGGAGGTAACTTTTTCCACTCTCAACCCAAAGTTTGGGTAGCATTACTTTTATTGAGCCCTTTAAGGAGGCTGGGTTCAGTTCCATTTTAACTATGAGCCTGTTGTGGCTCATCGTACAGCCCAGCAGCACACTGGACTCAAGTCCTCATTTTGAAAGTTAAGTAGATCCAGGTTTGGGCCTTTAAATTAAAAATACATAACTGAATATATATAACTGATTTTTTTTACAGGAAGGGAATCCTTTCTTGTCTGGCTCTTGTGGCTAAAATTCTTGGGTTAGCTCATTCTGTTCTCCTTTGAGCCTGTCTTTGGGATTGTACATTACAGAAGGATCCACTACTCTTACTCCTGACCTTGGTTTTTGACTGAATAACAAACAACTGTCTAAAGAAATCCCTTCTTACCCTTCCCCAGTGTTCCCTGGACTATCTAGCTAATTTACTGGTCCCCAGTGCCCCTTGGAATCATTACCAGTGTATCATCTACTGCTGTGTATGAGAAGCAGTGTGCTAGTTCAACATACATCACTTATAAAATGTACTGAACCACAGATTTTTATCTGCACAATATTATTAAATACCCCCTCCCCGGGGTGGTATGAATCCAATATGGTATAATGACTTGGAGGATATTGAATTTATTTCCTCAGGATAGAATTGGCCTCATTCCTCGCTTGGGTCTTCACTCTGCTACTCCACACAGCAGAGTTGAGGTCAGTCCTCTGAGAGGAATCCTATTGCAAGAACACTTAAAAGAAAATAAAACCCCTTGAATTTAAGAGTAGTAACATTTAATTCAATCTTTTAATGCTCACAGTCCCAGCGGTGCAGCCCTTAGGCCCTCAAGACTCCTGTTGAAGTTGACGGGGAGTTTTGTGCAAGGATTGTAGCACTAGACTCTGCAAAGCTATTTAAACCGAAAGGAAACCAGTTCTGTTCAGCTCTCAAGGAAGATGGAAAAAAGTACTGAACAAACACAAACAGCTTATTTAGGGCCAAATCCTGTTCACCTTATCTCATTGAGTAGGGGCACTGTGAGTCCAATGGTTCTACTTTCATGAAGAAGGTAAGTAGGGTTTGTGCTGTAATCAATAATTACAATACTGAGCCAATTGACTTCAGTGGGAGAAGGAGCAGGCCCCTTGTCAGTACATGTAAGCACGGGCCTAAGATGGATTAGTTGATGCTAGCACCTTAGCTTAGTCATGGCATGGCACCACTCATTCCCCGGAGGACCAAGTCTGAGAGATGGTACTCTCTGGACTGATAAAATACAACAAGGAATACATCGGTGGGTTCTGTATGGTGACTGCAGTCATCCTTAGGCAAAAAAATTCTAAAGGGATTCAAGATTTTGAGTGTCTCATTTTTTGGGTGTCCAACTTGAGATTTCTTAAAGGGGCCTCAAAAAGAATAACAGGATAACACCCCTTCTGGAGTCTCAAACTGGGCAACAAACATAAGGGCAGTCAAAATCACTAGTCACTTTTGAAAATCTTGGCCTAAGGTCCTATTGCTGTACAAGCTGATTTCTGAGCATAATGGTTACTACTGTGAAAAGTTCTATAGACATTAATAGGCTACTCAGAGTAGTAAGGACTAACCTTACTAATAAGAGCCTAGGACATCAGTCTCTTTGATTAAAGGACCTGTACAATGAAACTCCCCTCTCATCTTTTATAATATTGAACACTTGCAGAGTACACTATCGAAGTACTGTACACAAACTACCTAATGCCTTCTAATTAACTAATGTATCTTAATGAAAAAAACAAAGAATCTAAAATCTCTGTCTTTATACAATACATGCACATTCCGTTTTAGTTTTTTTTACAATAAACTTGAGTCAGCTGAGGTTCCTTTCTACAATCTGAAAAACACATCACCATATTTGTATCATTTATCAGAAAGGAAATGTACAATGGCACAGATTGTATGGACACAATTATTGATCAGGAACTGAATGCACACACATATTGGGTAGTGGATAGGGATAATCTCCAGCATGCAGAGCCAAAGTTCTTGGTTCCTTAATGAATTGCACACCAATTACATGGCGTTCCCACAGACTTTGCTCTCAAGACATGTAGAATGCATGAGAAACAAGTAAAGTCTGTCGGTTTAGTATCCATCAAAGCTTTCTTCCATGTGAGGAAGTGGCTAATTTGTCATTTCACACTCAAAGAGGCGTGAAAGGCAGAAAGGGGGAGGTTTGGTAGAGTGGGGGAGAGGGGCTGCGAAGCATGAGAAGAGGCAATAGCCCCGATTTTGATCTTGCTTACACTAGTGTAAATTGGGAGAAAGTCCAATGAAGTCAATGGAGTTACACTGGTGTAAATCAGATCTGAAGGAAGCACAGTGTCTCTTGCTCATACAAGAAAATTTATCTTATTAAAGCGCAGAAAGTAAAACTAGGAACACTTTACAAATGATGTTATTGTAAATCGCAAAGCTGCTCATCTCTAACTTCTACTTCTGTTTATTTACATGTGGGGTCTTTTTGTTTTTATTTAATTATAATAAAAAAGTATTAATTCCAACAACACAATGCCTTGTTTGAAATACACAAGAACTTTTATAAAACAAATACACAAGTCTGAGGAATGTCTGCTCTCTCCCCATTGTTATACCTGGCGTAAGAGCACTGTCAGTTTCTGTCTGTCACCAAATATGTTTCCCTCATTGTCTTTTGTCATCAAGTGTGGGAGGGTTTTTGTGCGTGTGTGTTCTCCGCTCCTCTTTTTTTCCACAACAAACTAACCATACTCCAGAAAATGAAGCCAGCTGGGGGTTAGAGTTGTAGAGGTGAGTGGAGACATTCAGGATAAAATCTTCAGCAAGACAATAGAGGTGAAGGCTGAAATCCCATTATTTGTTAATAGGGTTTGTGCACGTACCTCCCACGTGCTTACGAAATTTACTCTCCAATATCTTGCTGGCAGTTTCAATTTGAGTCAAGATTACATTTCAGCAGAGGGACTGCAAACTAGAGGCTGCTTTTGTCCTAATGAATAAAGCTCTACATTTCCTCCTCTTAAAATGTGATCACATTTTTAAAGGGGAAAACGAGTGTTACTGCTAAGCTTATATTTAATTTGATTTTTTGCTTTGCTTCTCTGTGTTAGCAAATGCCACCCATGTACCTAAATATATGTCCAATGGGTAATTTAGTATAGTTTTGCAGATCTGTCACAAAATGGCCTGTATCTATATGGCACCTCCCATCCTTACAAGACCCCAAGCACTTTTACAAATACATCTACATACCCCTGAACTGCAGCCAACTCTCGGGTGGAATGTAGCAGTCAATTAATAATGCACTGTAACAAAGACTTTAAATCTCATATAAAAATTATGCCAGGGAAGCCATGGAACACCCACATGACATATGTCATGAATCAGCTTCTCACTAAGTGTTAGCTACAAAATCTGAATTTCTGGGAAAAAACCCAGATTTGGAATTATTGCCTTGAGTGCGGTGCTCAAATAAGGAATTTGTCATTTGCTATAATATTCCAGTATTACAGTGCAGTCCTGTACAGACCCATAATGACTGTGCGTTATCTAATCTCAGTGTGAAGCAATATTAATTAATAGGAAGGATGCACAAAACAGAACACAGTATTTTTGCATGTTAAACGTCCTTTCTTTAAATAGACTATAAAACTACGTAGATGTAGGCCTGGCATGTGGGCTGCTGACAGGTTCATGGTGCCTTCGATTTCGCTTTTTCTTCATCTCCTGCATGTGCTTCCATTTTGCCCCACCTTTGTTCCGCTGCCGCCGTTTCTCCCGGTGCCACATCTGTTCACAATACTCATCCAGGCTGAAGCTGGGGCTGCTGACGAGTTGGATGTAATCCTTGTACCTCAGCCGCGACTCAGTAAGCAAATCTCTCCCCCGTCCCTCTTCTTCCTCCGTTTTCTGAGTGCTTTCCATGTGCCCGTTCTCTATGACGTTCAAATTTAACTTCACGATGGTGTGAATGAACGTGTGCTCCTGTGCTTTGCAGTAATACGCCCCTGTGTCCTTTCTCTGCAGGCTGCGGATCAGCAGCCCGTATTCCGTTTTGATGATTCTCTCGTCAGCCTTCAGCTGTGAGATTGGACAAAGCAGAAAATAAAATCTGAGTATGTGTTAGGTGGGGAGTAGAGGAGACAGAGGGGACAGTTGGCTCAGGGACTGACAATGAGATATGCAGTCTTTTACCTCTAGGTCACTGGCATATAAGTACCTTAGATAGACAGATGCATATGGAACCATTTGAATTTCAGAGTTCTACTATTCAATTGATAATTATAGTCTCATCAGCATGCCTTAGTTAAAGGTACATACAGTCTGAGAGGATAGAGTCACCAAGAAATAATACAATTAAACAGACCAAAACAAGGGTAAGGTAGCCTACTTTCTCAAAGCAAGAGTTGGATAGATAGCTGGACAAATCCCATTAGATTGCAAGCTGTTTGGGGCAGGGGCTATCATTTTATTTTGTTTGTATAACATGTAGCACAATGGGGTCCTGGTCCACGGCTGGGGTGCCTAGCCACTACCACAATACAAATAATAAATTAATAGTAATAACAATTAAGTCAATAAGTCTCATTCTGATCTGACACTGGGTTTACAACAGTGTAAACGCTCTTAACTTTAACGTAGTTATGCTTCATTTACACCATTGTAAGTGAGAGCAGAAAAACGCCAATAAGATTCAGGGAGCTAAAACCCAGTGCAATTCTTTTATCATGTAGGGTTCAGGATCTGTGAATGAGAAAACCTAGAAAAAACAGAAATTTAAAGCTAAGGCTGAATTTCTGTGCATTATGTACCCTATTCACTGCAGCATTTGTGGAATTGTACTTGAGATTGTGAAGGCTGTGGAAATACTTGCTCTATCTAGCACAACATGACATGTTAGCCACTGGCGTGCTGGCTCTATGCACTTGGTGCCTGAGGCAAACATAGCCATCCATGCTGCCAGCTACTTTGCAAATCTGGTAACCTACAAGTGATTTACAACATTAATTAAGCCTCACAGCCCCTCTCTGAGGCACTGATATGTTAGGATCCTTGCAGATGGAGAAACATGGATGCTAAGTGATTTGTCCAAGGCCACACAAAGACTCAGTGGCAGCGTTGTGAGTAGAGCTCTGACTCCCACTCCCTTGCTCTAATTCTATACTCCAGAGTACATTCCCTCCGAAGCACTGATGTTGGAAAAGGAAGCTGGCACTTCACAGAGTGTGCAGTGTTCTGCTGCCGCACAGAGGCTGCAGGGGAGAACAACAGTGAAGGGATTGCGGTTCAGCTTGATTAGCCCACAATGCACATTAAGCACATCTTCAGCACCACTGGTGTCATTGTTATAATACACAAGGATCCTGTTTAATTCACTATTGTGCTGGGGGGAAAAAAGACAGAAAGAAAGAAAAAAAATCTGGAAAACGTCCCAGACTATACATCTACCCTCCCAGAATATTTCAGAGGAAGAAGATCAGGGAAGCATAAAGATGAGTAAAGTAATGGTATTCACAGTGAGTAGACTACAAACTGTTTTTATGTGAAAAATCTGTAAGCAATTCTTCATCCCTAAATAGTATATATAAGTCCTGCTTGCCTGGCTTGCTACCATACTAGCTGAAGCACTCTTCAGTCAGATATGTGCAGCTGCCTGTGTGCCATTGATGACCCATTCAGAGAGCACACATCAGCTACTAGAAAGGCAGGGTGGTCTACTGAATGGAACTCGGCTCAGCTGGGGCTTAGTGGTGGGTTCTGTTTAGTTCTGTCACGGACACACAATATGGCCTGAGGCAAGGCAGCTCCAGGCTTCAGTTTCCTCATTCATAAATTGGCGACAAGAATACTGACTACATCACAAGGGGGAAGTCAGGCTTATTTAATAAGTGTCTGGCAAGTGCTTTGTGATCTTTTGACACCAGGCACTATACAACCCCAAAGTTTGTCTGAGTTAAAATAGCTTGGTCATGGTCAAAATACAAGTACATTTACAGCAGCTAACAGTCCTGCAACAGCGGGGAGATGGACTAGGTATTCAATAAGTCTTTTTCTTCGCTAGATTCTATCACATAGGGCAGTTTTCCCAACCTTTTCAGGTTGGCCTCCCCTTATTTGAAGTAAAACTTTTTGCAAATCCCTTGCACTTACTGTAAAGTAACAATAAAAATATATCAATGATAAAGATAAGCCTATATAATTTATTTGTGTGTGTGTTTCACGCTGCTGAGAGACAATACTTGACCCAGAAGAGTAAGGCTGTGTGGGCAATGGTGGAGAGAGATTTTCTTTGGTTTTGATTATAATAAATTTTTTTAGTGCCTCGCAAACCTCCCCCATCTCCCCAGTTGCCTTTCATGATCTTCTCCCTCTCCCCCTCCCCCCCCATACAAGGGTCATGACCCACTGATTGAGAAACATTGACATGGGAAAGGCCAACTGCTGGATGTCTGAGGAAGACCGAGAAATATAGGGTGGGGTTTTCAAAACCGCTCAGCATTGGCCTTTACTCTGTTGCCATTAGAACCCATATGGATTTCAACAGAAGCAGAGTTAGACCGAGTGAGCTTTCCTGAAAATTTCACCTAGACATGGTATTGTATTGTGTCAAGTGATACCACAACATTTGGTATCCTGCAAAGGTAGAATACAAAGGAGATATTTAAAATTTTTGAAAAGGCCTATTTTAAGGGTAAGGGTTCCCTCACTTTTGCTATTATTATTTCTAAGGCCATCCAAAGATATATTATTAGGTGTCTTCCAAAATAGAAAAAAAACAGAATGCCTTCTCCAAGGTGCTTAGAAGACAAAATTATGCATTTAATCACATGGGCATGGCAGTATGAGGAAAGGTTTTTATAAATTATTCTGGGAAAACATGGCTTAACATTGTTAATTTTTGTGTAAGTGTAATGGCAAAGGTGGATCATAAAGGGGCTTTAATGAGTTGAAGGTGGTGGCTTTTCATAGCAGCTCAAGCAGGTCATGCCAGGAGTAGAGACTAGTGTGCAAGAAAGTGCAAAGGGGGCTGTGGGTAAAGCTGATGAGCAGGGCAAAAAGGCTGGTGTTGCTGGTGGAGCAGAGATGACTCAATAAGAGAAAAGAGGCTCGAACCACTGTTGAGCCCAGGTAAGGGAGTTTCAAAGGGGCATCCTGTGGCTCCCTGGCACCATAGTTTAGATCAGATTGAGGGCTGTTCTACACTATGTCCCAGCTGTAATGTCCTCCAAAGAGCTGTTTGTCAGCTGGGAACCGCCAGAGCACAGCTTGCTCTGGCCACATCTCCGATTCTGGAAGCACAGGGCCGACTACATTGGCTTAGGGTGACCAGACATCCCGATATTATCGGGACCATCCTGATATATGGGGCTTTGTCTTATATATGCACCTATACCTCCCTGCAAAAAAGTGTCTCGATTTTTCACACTTGCTATCTGGTCACCATACATTGGCTACGTGTCAGACCTCCTACAGTAAGGGAATCTCCAGCTGGCTGGCTAAGCTGGCTGTACACTGGTTCAAAGGAACCACAGTGGGGCTCAGCCTGTTGTCAGGTAAAAGGAAGGACAGAGCTATGGAGGCTCTCGAAGAATCTAGAATTAGAAAAGAGCTGTTGGGTCACTTAGTCCATCTTTGTACTAATTATTACCATGCGGTATTTGTAATACAGTAGCCTTCATGTGCAGTTTGACACTAGGATGGAGACAGGCTGTTCTCAGTGGTGGCAGATGACAGAACAAGGAGCAATGGTCTCAAGTTGCAGTGGGGCAGGTCTAGGTTGGATATTAGGAAACACTATTTCACTAGGAGGGTGATGAAGCACTGGAATGAGTTATCTAGGGAGGTGGTGGAATCTCCATCCTTAGAGGTCTTTAAGGCCCAGCTTGACAAAGCCCTGGCTGGGATGATTTAGTTGGTGTTGGTCCTGCTTTGAGCAGGGGATTGGACTAGATGACCTCCTGAGGTCTCTTCCAACCCTAATATTCTATTCTATGATGCAGTTCTGTTCAGAGTATAGTTATAAATGGGCTAAAGGTTGAGGTTACAATCACTCTCCTCGGGAGCTCACACCACAGGCTAACCAGTGCTAAACTGGTTGTGTCTCTTAATCCCAATCCATCTCTACTTTTATTTTTAATGAATAAGATTCTTATTCAACGTCCCATTTACATCTTGGTTATTGATTTATGGAGATTGTCACCTCCTCCTTTTCTGTGTCTTCATTGTTCATTCCTTTCTTATTCTCTGACAGGATGAAATTATGGCTCTGATTTCACACATATTGAGCCACACTTCATTATTGTTTTCCCTCCCACTTCTCTTTTTTGGTATCCTGTTTATGTTGTTTTACAGACTCATAGACTTTAAGGTCAGAAGGGACCATTATGATCATCTGGTCTGACCCCCTGCATGCTGCAGGCCATAAAA